GCTCTTAAATCAGTTTCAGCCATTTTGAAACTGGTTTATGTGCACTGAACTTCTGTTCTATTACAGGTTTAAAACAGTTTCTGATTACTTAAACCAGTTTATGTGTAACTTGTGTCCCCAGACTCATACATAGACAAATAAACAGTTACTTGAGTTGAAAGAGGGAGGAACTTGCTGGCAATCAGCTGCTCAGTGGTAACTATTTGGGTGTCCATTCCTATCCTATGGTAAATAGCAGCTAAACACAGTAATTTAGCCCTGTTTCATTTGGGAATAAGCTGGCCTAGTTTAGCTTTCAGTTACTGTAGGATAGGCATGGACACACAAGCAGTTAATGTACAACAGTCAGTACATGTTAAGTCTGTTAACACTGTATGCATTTAGGCTAAAAACAGACATTGCCTTTGAGGCTGTTCTGAATGATCCAGTTCAAAACCTGGGACAGAACAAGTGGGTCAGCCCTTTAGCCGAATACTTGCCATTCTTTCCAGGGAAAACAAACTCTAATAAGCCATGATTATCCCAGGAAAAGTGTCTGAACACTTTTGCTTCCATACTTCAGAGGTACAGCACTTAAAGTGGGACAATGAGTTTCTAGGTCTATAGGATCCCAGGATAAAAGGATTTCTCCCAGGAAAAATATGACATCTGTTTCTAGCTTTAGTTTTCTGTCTATATCTTTAAATTGACCAGTTTAACCTGAGTAAAATTTCTTTGTATTTCTTTTGAAGAATTTGTTCTATTTTCATCATAAAAAAACTTCATTTTTTGTTATTTGAAAGAGGGGCCAGTGTTGAACTGAGGAATTTAAAATGAAATGATAATTATTCCTGTTTTTGCAAAGGAAAGACCCCACTGCTAAATGTCGGGAAAAAAAGTGAATTTTCCAGGGCATAGATTCAATCTAACTTACATGGCTAAAATGTCAACAAATATGTTCACTACAGCCCTGGTTTGCATTCACATGACAACTTTCCCAGTGAAGTCTCTGAAGGCAATTGCGTTCAGAGTTCTCACTTGCTTTTTGCCCTGCTTCAGTAAAAACCTAATCATTGACACTTCATTTCATTCAAAAACTCAGTCCACCCATATCAATCCATGTATGATACACTGTTGATCAGCTGATGTGGCTATCAGCCATCCATTTTTGTTATACAATGTAGAACAGAAACTATCAGCATTAGCATTATTTTGGTAGGGCCAGAGCTGACCTGAGCAGGGTGTGGGGCCCAGGGCACATCAGCCGATGTGAGGCCCTGCGCCAGCTCTGGTCCCATGGGCTCCAGACCTGAAGAAGCTGGCAGCGGTGGTGGAGGGATGGGAGGGGATAGTGAGGGGCTGGATGTGGAGCCACTGCTCCGCCCAGCTCTGCACCACTGCTGCTCCGCCCCACTCCACGGGGCCCCCCAAAGCGTGGGACCTGGGGTAGTCACCCCAATTTGCCTGGCCCCCAAGGGACAGCCCTGGGTAGGGCTACTGGAAAGCCAAACAGAAATCTGCGCAGAGAGTCATGAAGTATACCATGTCTGGACTAGTAAAACTATTAAAATGCAAATTGTAAGAAAGCAATGACAAAATTGCACAATTTTTACAGGAATTGTCAAACTGTATTAAAACAAAATTGCTCCAAGCTAGTTCTCAGGCTTGTTTGCACAAACTCAGAGCCTAATCAGATGCAGAAATCATCAACCATGATTTAAGCCACCTAAGATGACTGGCACACTCCTCTAAAGGGCTTCTGTTCAATGTATCAGAATCCAGCTGTTATTCCTTCTCTGTTTCTGCATATTTATTCTTAATTTAAATGATAAAAACATAGAGCCAAGTTCTTGTTTCACTTGTGTAGAGGCACTAGTATCACGCTTCATGGGCTAGACACCCACATGAAATATACAAATGAAAACCACAAAGCAATCCTTTCTAAATGGAATTCTCATTTTCCCTTTGTACGGCCAGTTGATTGGAAACAAAGAAAAGATGCTACTCTGCTTTCAAATACTTGACATATCGTGTTGCCAACACATGCCTGTTCCTGTGGCACACTATTGGAAGGCCCTTTATCTACATTGCAGACAGGTGATCTGATTTCTTAACAATGGGAAAAAGCAGGTTTTGTGAACTCCTTGCTCCTTTGGCCTCTTGCTGTTAATGGATACTGCAGGTTTCTCTGTTGATCTGCTTTCAGTTGCTTGCCACAGAATGAAATGTGGAGAGGAGGTAAGCATAGTAACTAATATCATCTTGTCTCCCTCTTTCACTGAGTAATGCTTCAGTTTGGGGCAGTTAAACAGATACTAAGGAAAGATTTCCTTAAATCCGCTTAAAGTATGTAGGCTGTGAACTTTAACTAGGGAGGTTTTTGACACATGTGGTAATTACTCTGTACCTGCTGTGATGGAGGAAATTGTGGCTGAAGATCTCGTTATGATTGCTTCAACCTAGTTCCAAACCCAGATGAAGATCAAATGCTGACTGTTGCCTTTCACATCCATTTCTATAACAAGACAAGCTGGAAACCTGCTGTCTCACACCCTAAAACTTTGAAGTGTTCAAAATCTACACATGGATTTTGTAGTTTAGGCATATGGATATGATGAAATAGTTTACTCATCGTTCATACCATGCAATTGATCTGCTTAGCATCTACAACAAAATTTAGGATACGAAAGTATGACTTTGCTGCCAGGGTTATTTTTGTTTGTTTAATCTATCTACTATATAATGCCCTAGGGGTAGGGAGCAGAACTCCACTAAACACACATTGGAGTGTCCTCACCTATGGGCCACAGAATTGTCATGTGATCCCATCACTCTTGCATTTGTGGTTGCTCAGTGGTCTAGCTTCAGCAGCAACAGTAAAGAATAATTCATAGCCTGCTTAGCACGTTCTCATGTGTGAGGTAGGAGGAGTAGGTTTGAATCGTCCCTGTCTGAGGAGGGCCCAGAACCCAGGTGTCCCTCAGCCTGTGTTTTAGGGCACATGCCAAGTGTTCTAACCAGTAGGGTATTATGTAAAAGGTGGTAGGCACCACCATCACCAGTTAATTAGGTACCTAATTTCTAGGTGTATTGGGTCTTTATTTTATAAATGTTTATCATGTGTAGCTCGAGTCAGGTGCCTGTGGAGGCCTAGGAGTTTGGATTAGACCCTTGGGTCTAGTATTTCCTACTGGCTAGCTTTTGGAGCCTGCATATTATGTACTTAGGTGCGGGGGACCACCCTTTGTAAAAGACTGACTTTCTCCATTCCCTGTATAAGGATTCTAGGTACTTAACACTATTTGAATTGCTCTCCTGGAGTAAGGCACCTAGTTTTCAGGTGGGCTGAAGCCTAAACAGAGGCATCATTAAGGCTAATTTGGATGAGGACCCTAGAATTATTTATACTAGTGGTGAACCCCTTTAAGCAAGAAGTGCCAAACCATAATACCCAACTCAGATCACCCAGGCCATTATGCAAAAGTTAATGTAATATATGATGGCAAAAAGATTAAATAAACAGTGCACTAAGGTCCATGATTCCAGATCCGGCACCAAATTCAGTCAACCTTTTGGCTGACCTATTTTTCTTTTGAAGGGTGTAGACACCAAAGAGGAAGTGAAGATATCAGGGTGATCCAAAGCAATATAAATGCAAGTAATGGATCGAAAATTTAGTACACTTTTGATTGTTTCCCACAGGAGATGATGACAATCTCTCTGCCTGTGTCATATCAAATGAAACATGGCAATGCTCTTAAGAATATGAGAGAGGAAAAAGAAAAACAAATCCTCATGAACAGTGAATGGATTAGATATTCTAAAAGAAAAAAGATGAATAGAATCCTATATCCTGGAAGTTAGCCATAATCTGTGACTCACAATCAAACATTTTACAAAATAGCAAAATCATTAACAACATAAATGTGCTACATGAAAAGCCATAATATGCATTCAAGAAGCTCTGCTTTATTGGTGAAAAATATATTAAATCGAGTGTAAGAAAGCTACTCTGTTAGTCCTGGAGAATTTGGAGTTTATTTAGAATCCAGGGGCTGCAAGTCTGCTCCATGCCTGCCCCACTCAATGGTTGTCTTTAGAATGACAAGAGATGGACTTAAATTAGAAAATAAAAGAGAAACATCTTGTTGTGGTATCTATACCTATGTGTGAAATTACTCCTTAGTGTCAGCAGCAGGTGCTAATTCTACAGCATGTTAATCTGTGTTAAGGTTAACTAGTGCCAGTGATCAGTCATGTGGGGTTGATACTCTCTCAAATGTGCACTGCTTACTCAGGCCTGCCACTAGAGAGCTGACAAACAGGGGAATGGCTAGGGGCTGCAAGGCTACTCCATGCCTGCCCTACTCATTGTCTGTCTAGCCACAGCATAGGCCAGGGAGGAGGTGAGGAACAAGCCTCCCATGCCACTTGGATCATCCCTTCCACCCCCCAAGTTACCCTGCTGCCCCCAACCAACCCCTGGATCCCCCAGCCACCCCTGAATTGGTCTCTCCAACACGAATTGCTACCCTGACCCTCCAATCAGCATAAGAGCAGCAGGGGTGGGGGTTACCCCTCTCTGGATGCTCCAGGGCTCCCTGCAGACACTGCTACCCCTGCATACCTGCATCCAGTCCACACAGGGTCCTGTAGTTGCCTGGCAGCTCCTTGCCTCCCTACTCCATGCTGCCTGCAGTTGCAGGGCCTGGTAGAGCCTGGATCTAGGTACACAGGGTTGCCATGGTCTTCGGGGGGATCCCAGGAGCAGGTAGGGAGAGAGAACCTCCCACCAGTGCCTCTGCTATCCTTGGGTTGATTGGGGTGGCAAGGCAGTGATCCAACGGTGTAGGGACCAACAGAGAGGCAATTGGGGTCACAGGGAAATGATCCAGGTGTGGGGAAGATAATTAATTGGGCAGGGTGAAATTTGGAGAGCAGAGGGGCAGCAGCATGGGAGCCCCCTATCTACTTACTCTCCCCTCCCTTTTCCTCCCTCAATCCTGCCCCCTTCACCCCTTTTACCTCCCTCTTTGCTCACCCCATTTCCACACACTTGTTGTCTGACTTCTCAGATGTCATTCCAGGGCCATAGGGTCTTGAATGATAGCCAGTCCACCTAGGAGCTGCACCTCCTGGGATACTAGAAGACTGCAAATTGGTGGTTTTATTTCAGGTAAATATTCAGAAGTTAAATGAACTCAAGTGAAGTAGTATAGCTTAAATATAATCTTTGCCCAAAGAGGAATAACTTTAAAATGACTAGAGAGTGCTTAGCACTTGTTAACAAGTCTTAATATATCATCATTCAAGTTTTAAGTGCTCTTAAATTGTAATGTGTAATCTATATCTATATCACTTTCAGTCTGATTTAAGAAGATGAGCATTTGTAGTCTGTCTAAAAATAGTTTGTAATAACCATGCCAAAAAAAGCATCAGATCTGGATGCTTTTATCGAAGAGCACTGTTTGGTGAAGTTATGTATAGAAACCCAAGCAGCTGCTTTGCAGATGTCTGCAATACTGATGTTTTACAAGAAAGCAGCATAAGTTACTTTGCCCTAGTGAAACTGGCTCTGTGGTTATCTGGAGGATATAAGATAGCTAATTTGTAAGTGAGTCTAATGCACCCTGAAATCCAGTTTTGATTATCTTTGGGCAGAATCTGTTTGGGCCTTCAGCCTCTCAGCAAATGATAGGAATAGTTTTGCAAAAAAGTTGAAGGATTACATTTTGTAAGTGAAAGGTAGGCCCCATGAACATCATGGGTATATAATCATGATTAGACTGGTTTCAGGGGGAAAATGTTGTTAGGAGAATGGCTTGGTTGAAATGGAAATCTCTCACTTACTATAGTAGGAAATTGAGCTTGGCCTAAGAGACTTCTTATCAGTGTGGGAAACTGTATATGAAGGTCCTGCCACAAATGCTTATGTCTCCTCGGTTATCCTAGGTGAAATACTTGCTTCTAGAAAAGAGATTTTCGTGGATTTATTTTAGAGAGAACATGCAGCTAGGAGTTCAAATAGTTCACCCATTAGATATGGAAAGCCTTAAACTAAAATTCTAACAGCATGAGTTGTGCTTATCAATAGAAAAAAATGAAATTTTTTCAGCCTTTAAAGAATATAGATATAGTGGAATGGGGAAAAAACTGAATACCCTTCCACAGTAGCATATATGTATTGATGGTTGCTGGTTTTGTACTTCAGTGGAACTATTCAATAGCCCAGCTTCCTATAGAGAGATAAGATTATCTAAAGTAGTAAATGGGCACATCTACATGTGCGCTTTAATGCACAGTAGCCTATTTTACTGTGCATTAGAATGTTGTGTCAAAAAACATGCAAATATGCTAATATGCAGTAAAATTATGTTACTGCGCATTAAGCATCACTAAAAAAAAAGTGTGTTTTTGCTACTGTGCATTAGGGCAGCCACGTACATTTAGTCAGTAGAGGTACTAAACTTAATGAGCATTAGCAAAAGCTCATAAATGAACACACAGACACACCAAGTAGACATGTCTACACGTGCATTGATGCTCCATGGTTTCTGCACATTAAATATAGTATCTGTAATAACAGGTACTAACTGTAATAACAGGTACTAACTACATGTGTAATAACCAGACGGGCACACATCTTTAAGTAACCCTAATGTGTAGAAGAATGATTGTACTGTGCAGTAGCGCAATGGCATGGCGCTACTGATATTACTGATACTGATTTTGCCATGATATGCTAATTCACAGTAGAATTAGTCTACTGCTCATTTAGCATCTTGTGTAGATGCACCCAATATGTGTCAAAATGATGCCATTTACAAAAGACTTCCAACTATTTATCAAGATATTCTATGCATCAGAGGCATATGATTTCTCTGCTTCTGATATCCAATCAGTAACCATACTGCAAGATAGAGTGGTGATGGATTTTTATAAAGAACGATCCCTTGGGATATCAAACTCATGATTACACATACATTTTTTTGGAGGATGCATCGCTAACAATCTTAGTTCCAGGTAACATAAATGCCTTGGTATAATGGAAGCTATAAAGCATAATTTTGATAACATCCTACCTGATTTTTCTGAGTACTTGGGACCAGTGGAATTGGTAGATAAGTGAGCACCAGTGGAGGGTACCAATGAACAAGGAAAACATCAGAAATGGATCTGGGTTCTGAGGTCATATGAAACAGAAAACATAACACTTCATTTTCTTCCTTGTTTTAAGTACGTCTAGTGACAGATTACTCAGTTCCTTGAAAATTGTCTGAATTACTGAGCTCTTGATTTTCCATCCCCAATCCAATGAAAAGTGTCTACTCAAGTGGTCTACCAGAGTGTCCTGAAAATGTGGAAGGTAAATTGTGCGAGATATCTGATATTGTATGCATTATTTTCCTAATTGGAATGTCTCTCAGTCCTGAAGGAATGTCTCTCAGTCCCTCTCCATTTCTGTTTATAGAAAAACATGCCAGCTCTTTTGTGTTTGCAACTTGGACAGGTACTTTTTTAAACAAAGGTAAAAATTCAGTGCATGCTTTATGAAGCAATCTGAACTCCAGTGTACAAAGAGTGGACCTTTCCAATCTATTGCTTTGTACTTGATGCAAATCTCACTATCATTTTGTTTGCTCCAAGTGGTGAAAAAGTTACTACTCTGTGGGTGCATGTACATGAGATGCTGACTGTGGAGTAGACTAATTAGCTCTGCAGTAAATGCCTCAGCATCTACATGTGCAGACCTATTAGGCTAAACTAATAAACTATGCAGCAGGGTAGTTCTTGTAAATACATGTGCTTGTAAATCCTGCTGTGCAGTTTTTTGCTCTGCAATAGTGCAAGTGTAGATGCTGACAGGGCTGACTGGGGCATGGGGGTGCTTCAGTGTGGGGGCTGCTTGCAGGCTAGCCCCACACCAGAGCACCCTCGCGCCCCCACTAGTCCCTCTGCAGCACGTTGATGCGGGTCGGAGCAGCCTGGGCCCCCTGCCAGCTGGGACTGCTTTGACCTGGCTCAACATGCTGTGGTCCTGGGTATGTGCATATGTAAATGCAGCATCCGGCAGCAATAAACTGTGGGGTGATAAGTGCTGGAGTTTATTATGTCACATTATTATGCATGTGTAGATGCACCCTGTATATATTACTAAGGAGGGAACTGACAGAGTCATGACTAACTGTTTGTTTGGTGCACATACTGATTTTTGTCATCCTTGCATGAAGCAAATGTCACCTGGTAAAAATGGAGGCATAGGTACAAGTACACTTAGACAACACCTTACCATATTCCCAGGATGTTACTGAAGTTGATTGAGGATGACTAGATGTGGTTTCAAACAAGTTTTGGGTTAGATAAGTTTTGGCTTTTGTGGCATATAAAACCACCTTTATAGATTTTGTTCATTGTGCTGAAGTCAAAATGGACTCTCTTGATTGACTGCTCGGTCAGGGGTAATGAAGAACTGAACAAGTTATGGATGGAATTTTGCTCCTGATGTTGAGCCCTTTCCTTTCACAAGATAGTTGTCCAGGTAGTGATGGGCTGCTATACCTTGACTTCTGAGATACTTCTAGGTGGCAGCTACTTCTAGGATTTGTGTGATTATTATCTGTTCTGTAGAAAGACAAATTGAAGACTTCTGTACTGGAAATGATTTTGTCCCTCCAGGAACCTCAAATACTGCCTCCATCTTGCACATGTCAAAATATGGAAGTAGGGATAGAAAGCACGCTGCAGGTGGAAATCTTCAAGCCATTCTTCTTCATCTAGAGAAGATATGATGACCTCAACTGTGCTAAATGTGAATCAGTGAATAAAAATACTGAGTTCTCTCAAATCTAGAATTCATTGCCATACTCTTTTTCAGCTTTCTTCTAGTTACAAGGAAAGGAAAAAAGGAATTGAAACCTTGCTCCCTGTGTCACAGTTGGATATCTTCTAGTGTTCTGAGACAGAACTGTTTTGAATTCCTGTTTTAATAGTTTATTGATAATTTAGCCTGATGATTTGAAATTCTGAGCTATAAGCCTGCAGAAGAGTAATATTTATGGCTGAAAAAAGTTATTTTGGTTCCTTTTGTGCTGGGATAATCTTTGCCTGGTGTTTTCTTTTTTTTTGTCACTAGCTACCACTGCCTCCAAACAACTCAATACAAAAAGTGAATCAAGGTATTTTTCTCCAACAATGCTACAGATATCTTTTGTCTGATTTCTTTGCCTTTAAGATGACTATTGCAAGTATCTGCCAAATATTCCAAGCAAGGTGTAATAAATCCTTATTAACAGGAAGAGCTGTATTTCCTGGCATCCTTGTATGGATAATACCAGCAATTTATGTTGTGTCCCCTATATCTGTTTGTGGAATATGGACTGACACAACTACCTATCTCAGTACTGGAAACTCTTATGGATGTGAATGAGAAAGTGTAGAAGGAATTACCACCTCATTCAGTGACAAGAATGAACTAGCAACTTAAGATCTGTAAATTCTCAGTCTTAGGGTTTTCCTTTTGATCATAAATGTCTTCTATTAAAAATGAGGTGATGACATTTGAAGATTTGCAGATTTTGCTTCTGAACAGAAGAGGAGGATCTCTCTCTAGGAGGTAGCATGTAGGAAGGATGTCTTTGATCAGGTTTTCCAATAAGACAATGTTGGCACATTACATGAATAAAAGCCAAGGACCAAAGGGAAAAGATACAAGAGCACATGCCTACCCTCATAATTAATATGATATGTAGATCTATGTGAAATCCTGGATTCCTTCTCTGTAACAGTAGAAGAGGTTGTTGGGGAAACAGGGAATCAAACCCTTCTGTATTCTGAGAGCTGGAGGATATATAGAAGATTCTACCTTTAAAGGTGGTGCTGCGGTGGCTAGAGTGTTGGGCTGTAATGCAAGTCCACCAAGAACCTCCAAGGATGAGGTTGTTATTAGTGAAATCAGATAAAAGTAAGGGAGACCCCAGCTTCTTCAGATCCCAGAAGCCCTTCGCTACCACAGACTTCCCCACTACTAAGACAGGACTATTAACCTCTTTGCATGACTATAGTGGTTACGCTGATGTACTGGGTATTGTTGAAGCAATCACTTCATGAGAAACTTCCCCAAACCCTGAAGCTATTGCGTGATGCTGGCACTAGTTGATCTCTTATCTTGATGTGATG